CGCAGCCGCGGCGCACCCCCGCCCGCGCGGCAGCCGTTGGGGAACGCGGTTCAAATCCTAACGGCCGCCGAGGTAACGCACGCGTGCCTCGTGMTGAGGCGGCCTGAGGGGACGGAGCTGGAGGGGCCTCGCAGGTCTGGAGATGCGGTCTGCAATCCGCAGTTATTCTGACAGAGCTCATCACAAGTGCATTCTTCCTCGATTTATTTATTTATTTATTCGCACCCCTCTTCTTTTTTTTTTTTTTTTTCCTAATGTGTATCAGCTCTGATAGTGCTTCTGGATCATGTAGGTGGACAGGTACCCGAACCAGGTTAGTCCTTAGGAAGCTTCTTTTACAGGGTTGAGTGTGAGCTTCCTGCTGCTGGAGGGCATGCAGTGTGCTGGTCTCTTATCTCTCAGCTGTAGCTGGAATTGCTTGGGATTTCTCTGTTAGAGCTCATTCTAACTCACTAGTGTATTCAGTAGAAAAGTATTTTAGAAGTTTAAGTAGAATTTGAGTTAATTATCATCATTGGCTGTGATGTCGTAAATGCTTGTGTTCCCCAAACTGGCCCCTCTAGAGTGGGTTTTATACAACACAGTTGATCTTGGGCCAGGTCTGAAGTCCAAGTATGAATTGCAGCTCATTTTACTGAATGAACTTCTCTGTACCAGCCAGATATGCCTAGCAAAGCATCCTTTTGGAAAGGTGCTCATTTACTGTGGTGATAGAGGTAATAGTGGGGGAATCACCTAAATATCTGCTTTGAAAGGGAACAGAGAGCTTTCAAGGATACGTTAGGGCAAGGGAGAGAGTAGTTGATGGGGAGAAAACTGTTCATGGGGTTTTATATACAAGGGTTGTATATACTTCAGCAGTGGTGCAACCAGAGGTGCCAGTAAACTGAAAGAAGTGAGCAGTGCTGAAAATGCCTGCAAATCCTTCCAAGGCAGCAATTGCTTTCATCGCACAGGGATCCCACTCAAAGCATCAAGAGGCTTAGATCAGAAAAATCTGCCAAGTTAGACCTGCTTCTCTCTAGGTCACCTCATTAGTGGAGGAAAAAATATAATCAGCAGTTAAGTACAAGAGCTTGGAATTTTTTTCAGTTGAGGAAGTTTGCTTGCAGCAAGTGATCATCAACTGTCCACATATAGGCCTGAGGAACCTGAAAAAGATTCTAGCAGGCATGAGAGAGGAAAAACACATGACCTGAAACCAGCCAAATGAAAAGCCCCAAAAGATACAGATAACTGACACCAGGGGAATTTAGGGCGTTTTTTTCTTGTGTCGAGTATATCTTTTCATGAAACAGAATAGTGGCATGGCACTGGGAATAGCATTCTTGCTAGTAACAGCAAATCCTGTACTTGGCTCCAGGATGTGAGACTGGGACTCAGGTAAGAACTCAGCTCTTTTGCTCCATGTGCAATATGGAGACGTTCAGTTTCTTTAGTCCCTGAAGGATTTTATGTGCATTTTATGCTAGTATTTTAAAAAGAACAGGATTAGCGTGAACAATTGTCTCCATGGTGAAATGTGTTATTTTGAGATCCTATTTATGGATCTAAGCTTGCAGCCTTTTCTCAGGCAAGCTCCCATTGATGTCAACGAAACAATAACCTGGAAAAGGTCTGCAGGAGCTCTCAATATGGGATAGCATTTCCGTTCTTTCGTGACAGGCATGTGACGTCTGTACAGGCTCTTTGATGCTTGTAAATGTAGCCTTGTGTTGTGTTGTATAGCTGCAATGTTTTAGGAAATAAACATGACTCAAGCAGTTGTATTTTATCTCCCTTATTCCCTTTATTCTTCCTCCTTCTGGGGAATAGGGCTCTTGATGGTCCAGGACATTTTGGCTGCTGCAGCAAGTGCAGTATAGCAGTGGAGAGGCAGTACTCTCCAGGCCTTTTMCAGCTGCTTCTATCTCATTTGCACACAGAGGGAGTGCCAAGGCTATACTCTGCACTAAGCAGACATGCAAAGATGTTTCATAATGATCAGGTAAAAGTAAAAATGTATTTGTCACTCCCTATGCCTGCAGGCAGGTGTAAAAGGCAAATCTATAATACGTATCACTAAAAGGGAGGTTTCAGAGCTGTTATACATTTATGGTGTTTCCACACCAATGCAGAGTCTTGTCCTAGACCTGTGAGGAAATAGTTAAGAGGTTCTGCTGACTCACTTAYGCAGGGGGCTCGTTGCAATCAATACCTTTGTAAAAGGGAGGCAGGGTTGCTTTGGGCTGAGCAGGTGGTGAGGGGGTTTTCTGGAAGTAGAGGAGCTGTGAGCAGAGGAGTTTTGTGACTGGCTGTCAGAACCAAACTCCAGGAAATGATTCTGGGCATTGCGTGGGTGGCTGGTAGTGGCTTCTACTCAGCAGTGGTCTTGCCTTTAAGATAAAAATCTCATTTGTTGGGCTTGCTGTTGTATTACTCCAAGTAAAACTGCAAAGGTTGACAATGTGCAGCCAGATTTTGCTACTGCCAAACATTTAATGGTTAATGGGGAGTGAGGTTGATGAGTGATGCCACTCAGAGCTGCATATTCTGTGTATGCCTCACTTGCTCTGAAGTTATGAGACTGGCTTGAGAATCATGAAAGCAATCCGTTAGAAATGACTTCAGAATACTTTGCTTGACTTCTGGCTTCACAGGTGGATTGCTCYGTTGTTGAAGACTAGGAAGGGTAGAGTGCTTCTCTGATGAAGCAAACTGAGAAGCTCGTGTAGTGGTGTAACTTCAGAAGATGGTAAATATCTATTATTAATCATATTTTATTACAGTGGCAYCTAAAGACCACTTAACATTCTTCAGATGGGCATAACATACATGTATCTRTATTAAAATCCTTAGCGTTGACAGAAAACTGTGAAATGGCTTTTGTGTATCTCATAGCTACAGTCTCTTGAACAAAATTGTGTTGGTGTTCAAAAGTTCAGAATGTGCCTCCAGTACATTTCAGTTAAGGTAGTCTTGTAAGTAAGCATGGTGGTATATGACTTATGCTTATCTGTAGGATGGTCATATGTACCGTGTCAGAACCAATGCTGACAGCTTTTTTTTTTTTTTAACATATCCTCAGTTAATGTATAACAGTAAAATGTGATAGAAATCTCTAAGCATAAAACATAAAACTATGTATGCTCTGCTACAGCAAAAACAATCAATTGACTTCCTGGAAAAAAAAAAAAAATACCCTAAGAACTAAAAGAGAAAAATCTGAGATATGGAAAACAAGCCTCTCCTGACTCATCTGGGATAAGTTTTTAGGAAGACTGATTTATTCTGGGCTCAACAGAAATAAAAAATGGTGACCAGTGAGTGGATGCCCCTGGATATTCCAAGTTGTTTTTTAAGAGCTAGTACTGACCCAAAACCTTGCCCTGCTAAGGAAATATTATTGATGGAGGTTTTTCAGGTAAAGCACCTTTCCTTCCACTTGTCAGACAGAGAGCAGCTGCCTCAGATATTAGAAACACAATTTTAAATGATTTTCACTCATAGTCTAGTGTGGCAAGGGTGCATCATGTAAAATAAAACTATAGGTCATCATCTCTTTATCCAGGGGCTCCCTGGACCAAAATCTTTCTACTTTACCAGGTTTTGATAAGCTCTGAACACAAAAATTGGAAATGGTTTTACTGCTTACATAGGAGCCARAAGCACACCACATAAGCAGGAATCTATGCTACGTTACTGAATAAATTTCCTGCAAAAGTATAATGAAGTAGTTTATGGAAGAACTAAAGTCACCTGAGAGGCAGAGAGTTTGTGGATGTGCAGACCCACTGACAATGACTTGGAGCAATTTGTAGCTGTTGCAGGTTTTGATGGAAGTTTCAACAGCAGTCACAGTTGTTGCTACTGTTGCTTGGTAGCCTAATGACATCTGTTTTCTCCTGGGCTCTGCTGACTTCCCCCATACCAAGTCCATTTTGTGGGGCTGAATGCAGGGATCAAGGTTAGCTCTTTCATATTATGTAGATGGATTTTTTTTTTTTTTTGTTTTGCCTTGCTGAGTGTGGAAGAGCTGATGTGAACTTATCATACTAAAAGAGTAATTTTCTTCTGGAGAAAGAGTGGCATATGGGTATTGGGCACTGCTGTGTGAACTGACAGATTATTTTTGTTCTGCTTTGCTTGCCATATCAGGATTCAGAAATGCAGCAATGTATATATATATTTTTTTCAGTCTCCCAGGACGTATCTGGTGGGGGGGAATTTGCTCTGTGTRGTGAATTCAGATGTTACTCCAGAAGTTAATTTGCCCTGAGCAAATAGGAGGACAATGCTTGTTTTTCAGTTATCCGTTTAAAATCTCCTTGTGGTTCTAAGAAAGGAATTTAAAAAATATATTTCATCAAGAGGTTTTCTGATCTTTGGTGCCACTATTTTCATATAGTCTCTAACGCGGATGAAACAAAATGGTTGCTCTCAGGACCAAGTCCATGTGAGATAACAGGACAAAATATTTTCTGACACTCTTAACAACATAGCCTTCCTCTAAACCTACTGAAAGTCATTAAGGGGAAAATGATAGGAGGATGTATAAAAATTGGTTAGGTGAATTATATCTACAGTGTCCCTTTAATTATTAACATTTACATTAGCTTTTAGCAAGTGCATGATTTTTCTTTACTTAGTTTTTTCATATTAGGGCAAAATTTTCCTGTTTAACCCATCTGTAGCTCCCTTGTGAGAAGCACAGAATGCTCTTGAATAGATGGCATGTGACAGCACTGGG